GCCTGCTGAGCACTTCGGTTCGGACGCCGGGACGATGGGTGAGCCACGTCCGGAGGCTTCCTCGCCTGCTCCGTGCCCCTTCACAGAACCATGGCACTCCGCCATGCAAGAGCCGCCCGGGCACCCCTGCACTCCCCACCCTCAGACCAGCCCCGCACCTGGGCCTCAGTGGTCCCGTCCTTGGGATCGAGGACCTGAAACCTTCTCTAGGTGAAGCAGTGCAACCTCTGTTCTAATTGCTGTCACGGCCCGTCACCAGCCCCCCAAAGCCCTGCGCGCCCACTCCCACAGCGCGCCCAGCCACCCCCATGGGACAGGACCCCACATGGCTTCCCACCCCCCCGGGAAAGAATGGCTCTGCTGCAGGGTGGGTGTCCGGACAGCCCAGCGGACTGGGTGGAGCAGCCCTGGAGAGCCTTCCAGTCCGGCCTCTGCTCCTGGGAATGGCAGGGTGTCCCGTGATGTACACGGGGCGTGTCAAGGAGAGAAGTGACTTGCTCACGGCTTTTTTTCTGGGAGAGGTCCCCACCTGCCACCAACACCAGGAAGTGGTGACTTCTCCCTGCTGCCAGGTCTTCCAGCGCCTCTTCCCTGCCTCAGATTCCGAGCCTCAGGGGTGAGCTGTGCAAAGCCCTGCGCCCAGCCCGGGTCTCCTGTCGTGGGCGTTTACAGTCCAGCACTGGACCTTGAATTCTGCCTCCATCAGTTGCTGTTTTAGAAAACAAATGTGTGCAGTGTCGGCGGGTCGGGGGGTCGGGTCTCTCTTCTTAGGAAGCAGACGCGTCTTAGCTGAGGCCTGAGGCTGGGCCGCCCTGCCCAGCTGTGTGGACTGTGCACTGCACCAGCCCGGCGGGTGTCATCTTGGGGCGGTCTGTCTCGCAGCCCCCCACCTCCTGGAGCTGGGCAGTGCAGAGCCGACCTTCCTGGAGGCAATGCTGAATCCACAGGAACGTACTGGTAGACAGCTCACAGTGGGCGGGGAGTGCAGGAGGGAGAGCCAGGTCTGATCCAGGGCCTCCTAGACCAGAATTCTGTTTCCTCTCTGGGATGATCGGGGTGCAAGTCTGTGCGAAGCCTAATTAAAGCGGAGCACGTGTGCTTTCTCACTCACTCACGGGCCAGGCGGCCTCATTCCCCCTGTTGCAGAAGCTAGAAGACAAAGGCCAGGAAGGGGAGGGCCCACCAGTACCCCATCACTCAAGGGGCCCAGCCCAGTCGTGCTCAGACCCTCAGGCCCTGCGCCTCACCTTCCCTCTGACTTTTATTTGCTTGTTTTTCCTCTAGGTTATTTTGCCGTGGGGTGCGTACTCTCACCAGAGAGAGATAGAGGGGGAGTGAGAAACCGCCCCGCAGAAGGGCCACACTGCAGTCCCTTCTAGTGCACTCACCTGGTAGGATTTGAGGCATGCACGCACACACGCACCTGGTGTGATTTTGAAGATGCTGGGTCTTGAACCACGGTCCACCGTATGGAAATCCAACACCTTACATCATCTTGCCACTTGCTAGCCCCCGGAGCCAAGCCGAATGCTAAGCTCCTAGGGTGGTGGAGGGGGCACCCAGGACCTGGACAATGCTCTGCTCAGGCAGCACGGCGAGTCTGTCCTAGGCCGCTGGGGTCCGCCTGCTCCCTCCAGAGATGTCTCCCCCTCCAGCCCCAGCCCCGAGCCAGCTCCTGGAGCTGCCAGGTAGAGCCCAACATCCCTCCCACTCTCCGGGGGCCTGGTGAGTAGAGCCTGAGAACAGATGCCTAACACCTCACTCTCGGCGAGAATGACAGATTTTCGAGTCCCTTGCAGGAGCCGAGCCTACTCCCCCGGTGGACACACGGTGTCAGCCCGTCCCGAGCTAGTGAAAACAAACAGCGTCATTACCCCTCTGCTGATGGCCGCGGTCTATTTATACCACTTAGGGCACGGGATAAATGGCGCCTTGGTTTCATAATGAAAGGAATATTTCATTTCGCAGAGCTGAGGAACTGTTTATGGAGCATAAAACCAACGTTTATACTGTGTTTTGATAATAAACTGATCTGGAAGTTGGTTCATTTAGGCAGTGTCGTGGCCGTGACTCAGCCGTCTCCTCTGCAGTTGGTGCGGGTGGGGGATGGGGTGCATGGAGCCCTGAAACGCCCTCTCCCTGTGCCGTATTGGTTCCTCACTGTGCTCCTGTTTGCCTGTGGGGAAACTGAGGCCCAGCCAGACTGTCAGGTCGTAGAGCCTGTGCGCACTAGAGCTGTGGGTTCGATGCCACAGGCTGGCTGCAGAGCCCTCTCCTGCAGTTGCTGGGCAGTCGCTTTCAGTACAGAAGTCGAGGAGACTGCACCGCGAGGAGGGGAGGAGAGCGCGTCATGGTTCGTGAAATGCAAGCCCGGCACAAAGGTCTTCCCCCAGGGCTGCTTCCCCACCCTCACTGCGGTCTCCGGTCTCTGGAGGGTGAAGACAGGAGTGGGGCACATGCTAGATTTTGCTCCGTGAGGCTTCATCTTTCATGTTCCTTCATGTCACAGCCTGGCTCTTTACATGCACTTTCCCTTACAAACAACTGGGCTTTGGCTAGCCAATAGCACGGTGGTTAAGGCAGCTTTTGTTCCCACATGACTGACTCCGTGGTTCGAGTCCCAGACCCAGCGAAAATCATGCTGGGTGTGTGTGCATGTGTGCTCAAAATCCCAAGAGGAGACTAGAGGAGGAGGGATTGTGGTATGGCCATCCCCCTGGAGGGCGATCTCTCACTTTCTCTCTCTGTCTCTGTCTCTCTCTGTGAAGCGCCTACACCATTAAAAAAAGAAGAAATAAATAAAAGAAACAATGGAGCTGGCCTTGCTAGGTAGGTGGCCTGCCTCAGCCCCCTGCTGCTGGGCTGCCTGCAGGAAGCCCCTCCCAGCCAGCACCCTTGTCACCGCTCTCACCCAGCTGCGGAGGCACAGACAGGGAGATCGTGACCCCTGCACCCAGCGTGCTCTGCTAGCCTCAGGGCATGGTGCCATGAGGTCTCCACGGCCAGTCAGCCAGAGGTGGTCAGGGAGCACTTTCCCGGCTTTGGAAATCACACCCGAGCAGGGGAGCTGACTTGACTGAGGTCGCGTGCCTGGGAGCCATCAGGGCAGTGCAGATCCGGCAGGGCAGTACAGATCCGGGACTCCCAGGTCCCAGACCCTGTGCACCCCATCCCCGCCCACACCGCCTTCCCAGGAGACGACCGAGCCACGGCCAGGACGCTGCTTTCTCTCAAAACCCTCAGAGGTTCTCTGCTGGGTCTCCCCTCAAAGGTCTCGCGGGATGGGAGAAAGCCAATTAGACAGATGGTGCTGGGTTCCCTCCCCTCCCCCTCCTCTCCAGGAAAGCCTCTGACTTCCCTGTGACTGCTTCAGCCTGTCCCTGAAGGAGGGTGGACAATGCCCAAAGTCAGAATCCCCCACATCTGCGAGTGCCCTCTTATATGGTAAAAGGACTTTGCAGGTAGGATTAAATTAGGAATTTTGAAATGGAGATGGGATCAGCAGTTAGTGTAGTGGCTATGTCATTGGACTCCCACGTAGTCGACCGTGGTTCGACTCCCGGACCTGGTGACTTAAAACTCACGCCGGGTGCATGTGGGTATGTGACCAAGATCCCGAGAGGAGAATGGAGGAGAAGGGATGGCGGCGTGGCCATCCCCCCTGGGGGGTGATTTCTCGCTATCTGTCTCTCTGTCTCTCTCTGGCGAGTGCACACGCCCTATCGCAAAAACCTCTCCAAAAAAAAAGAATTTTGAAATGGAGAAATTATCCTGGATTAGTCAGGCAGACCCTAAATGTAATCACAAATTCCTGTCAGGAAGGAAATTTGGGAGCCAGCGGGATCCCTCCAGGCTGACTGTGTGGTTTGAGTCCCGGACCCTGCAGCTTCAGAGACACATCGGGTGCATGTGTAAGTGTGCCAGAACCCTGAGGGGAGGTTGCAGTGTGGCCATCCCAGGGACAGAGTATGTTGTCGCTTTGTGCTCTCTGTCTCTGTGTCCCTCCCTGTGAGTACACTCGCCCTATAGAAAAACTAAAGAGGAAGGAGATTTGGGTACAAAAGAGGAAGATGATGTGATGACGAGACAATAGGAGAGAGGCACCCAGGAGCCCGGAATGCCAGTGCCACTAGGAGAGGCCAGGGACAGAGCCCGCCCCCGGAGCCCTTGGAGGGAACCAGCCCCAACTCCTAGATCTGGACCCTGTACGACTCGCGTCATACTCTGGCCTCCAGAACTCCAGAGAGCAGTCACGTGCCGCAGCCACTGAATGACTCGTGATGTGTTTCAGCAGCCGTCGGGGGTCACCACGGCCCTGTACCGCCGGGCCTTCAGTCCTGACGTCAAAGCATTGCCTTGTGCAATCCACAGTACACCAGAATTCATCAGTGTCCCCGTGCGGACAAATCCTGGGTCAGAAAACCCTGTCACAATGCATAGTGTTATTACTGAAGAGGATCCTAAAGTCCAGAGAGTGAACCTTATGCTTTTCAAGCTGTTCTTTTTTTCTTTCTAGAGAGATTTTTGTTACAGGGCACATGCACTTGCCAGAGACACAGAGAGAGAGAAACTGAGAAAGCAACCCCAGGGGGAATGGCCACGCTGCAGTCCTTTCTGCTCCATTCTCCTCTTGGGGTTTTGGGCACACATGTCCAACATGAGTTTCAGGACCTCAGGTCTGGGACTCAAACCACAGTCAGCCACGTAGAAGTCCAGCGCCTTAAGCACTACAGCTTCTGCTGGCCCGTCAAGCTATTAGAACCGTAAACCAATGGCGGGGAAGGTAGGACTCAAACCTAGGGCCTTTGGTTCCAGATGAACCAGCTCTCTACTCTTTTAGGCAATCACGGGCCCTAAGGAGTTACACAGAGGTGAGGGGGTGGAGTCTCAGCTTTTTTTTTTTTTTTTTTTTTTTTTTTTTTTTTTTTTTGGGGTTTTTTTTTT